TTCCAAGAGAAGTGGTGCAGGCTCCTACCCTGGGGGTTTTTAAGAGGAGGTTAGATGAACACCTTGCTGGGGTCATTTGACCCCAGTACTCTTTCCTGCCATGGCAGGGGGTCGGATTAGATGATCTGCTCAGGTCCCTTCCAACCCTAGAAACTATGAAACTATGAAACAAGTCAGTCCACACACAGTGTTAACACACTTTAACACCTGCATGTATAGACGCTGGCTTATTCCCACTTACTGCATAGTAAATTACTGCGGCAGTAAATTTAAGGTAGCGTAAATGCACATCTAGACACACCCAGTGATGCACAAAGGCTAAGTACAGATGGTTAAAGAACCTGAGGTTGAATTGATTCAGTCTTTGCAGGTGAATCTAAGATGCATAGATTGAAGCAATAAGCAACTAAATAGACTTTTGATTCTGGAAATGCAGTCATATGCCTGCAATGGCCCAGGCCAAAAGCTGGGAGGTGCTAGAGCACACCTCCCTGCTGGGCTGGAGGAGACAGCTTGGGCCAAGGCTAGCCCACCCACCTTGCAAGGGGGTGGGTGAGCTTGTGGGGGAGGTGCAAAGCATCCTGGGATGCTGGGAGACTGTGAGTTAACTGGAATCTAGAGGGGATCTGGGACAGAAGTTCAATAAACCAATTTAACCTAAAGAAGTCTGATACTACATCCATCCAGACTTATCTTAAACCAGTTTCACCCATTTTGAAAGTGATTTATGTGCACTGAACTTCTGTTGTGTTACAGATTTGAATTGCTTTGTGAACACTTATACCGGTTTATGTTTAATTTCTGTCCCTAGCCAAAAAGGCTTAAGGTTCACATTTGCAAAAGTTGCCTCTAATTTTGAGTGTTCCAGATCTGGGGTTACCAATCTGAGACTCTGTCACCCAGAAACTGGGGCACCCAAACCCAGGTAGAGTTTTAAATATTGTGGCTTTTAGTGACTTTTCCTAGAAAGCCCCTTAACCCCTTAGAAAGGCTTGAAGAAAGAGTGAGTTGCACAATCAAATAGTAAACCCAGAAGTCCCAACTCCTACTTACTGGCTGTGAATTCTCTTCCTACAGCTACACACCTCCATTCTTTTTACTTAGTTTGATACTAACAGTTTGGTCCCTCTCAAATTAGAGCCAACAGGCAATGGCAATGACTCATTTAAGACTGAGTCAACATGAAGCTGTTGCTAAAAAGGGAAAGGTGTCTCTCTATTTGTCTGGAGCATTACCCAGAGCAACAACAGTTGACAGCAAACTTGTTAAAAGATCTAATTTGCAGTAAAAACTTTATTAATTTAATTCAGCTCTTTCATATATTTCATGGCTGCCTAAGAGAGAAGTAACCAAACCAGTTCAAAAGGGTCTAAAGAAGGTGGGTTAATCAATCATTCTGCATAATCTGCTACAATACTTGTCAAGAGGTCAGACAGAGCTGAAGGGCCTGGTTTTCATACTACAATTACTATGCTGTTCTGTTCTATTTAGGTTCACATCCCCATAGTCCCTGAGCACCTTTAATCTGACTTCAGTGAGAAACCTAAGCACACAGTGAATTAAACCAAAGATATTGCAAATGGAGGTGGCTGTGAGATAGTTTTTCTGTCCGATGAGTGTTTTAGAGATTTTGAAATGTTTTTTATCATCTCAAATTATGGCACAAATTTGTAACTTCAAAAATTTCTTAAAACCAATAATGTTAAAAGGAATTTCTTAACATTTCTTTGCAAGTTCAACCATAATTTTAAATCTGTTAAAATCTGTATTATATTTTTAAAAGAAAAAATAATTTTGAACTGAAAAGCACAACTTTTCATTTAAAAAAATGCTCAAATAGCATGCTCCTACAATCTCAAATTGTTTAAAATATTTTTCAAACTTGGAGATCCATCCAAGCCAATTCTTTTCCACAATCATTTTGGTGTTTTATCAGATAATTTCTGGTCAGTTCTAAATGCAAACTCCCATGATGTGTTTATTCAACTTTTACTTGTAGAACCATGTTCTGAAAAGAGCTGTATGCATTTACTCACAGGGTCCTGTCCATAGCTCTAAACTAATTCAAGACAAGATGTGAGAATTCGGGGAGTTCATCTATGTGAAACTCAGGTTATTTCTTTCATAACAGGGACTGACTTTGTTTATCTATGTCAGATGGCAAACTCCATTTTTGAATGTGGGGCTTACCTA